CAAGAGTAACTCAATTTATGACGACTGAAAAAAACAAAAATGGTATTGTGGATGTTTTGCGGTTTCGATTTGAAACATTTTAGAAAGTAAATTTAATTTCTAAAAATGCCAAATTTGGTTTTTGCCAAGAGGAATGCTAGGAGGACTCGCTCCAGCACTCTCCCTTCAACAGCCGCTCATCTATTTATCCACGTAACTCAATTTTTTAGATTGAAAATTGAAAACCGGTTACAAAACTTCAACAAGAATATAGGTCCCACAAATTAAATGATACGTACTGTAATTGGTTTTATTTTAAAAAATATCTTCTATCTCAGTCTCGTTACTCTCTTTCTTCGAGTGATCGTTCCACTGGGAATCGACAACATTCTTTTAATTCCTTCTTCCCTTGAACAATCCAATCCAAAGTGATGAAATTTGTATGATCAAAAAGAGCTTTCTTTGGGTGAACATCAGTGGAAAATGAGGACAATAGGAAGCAATAATATTATAAAAAGTGTAATAATTATTTAATATTATTAAAGAGATAAAATAAAATTGAAATTAATTAGATAATTATTAATTAAATATTGTAATAAAAAATTATTGTAAAAATAATAAATTTATGAATAACATTAAAATATTTTAATTTACCAGCAATTCAATATAAAAAGCTACTAAAGTATCTTTTTCAATTAATTGTGGTTTAGATTTTAATTATCATCTATTTCTCTCAAATTATAAATAAATTTTTTTATTAAATACTTAATTTATAGTAATTTTAAAATAAATAAATTTATTAAACATCTATCCTATAATAATTTGGAAAAAATTACTGACTACTAAACATGCCCTAAGTTCTATATTTTTTACTACATAATATTTTTTACTACATAATATTTTTTATTTTTTCATCACTACTATTGTATTATAATAAAAATTAAAATTAAGATAACTTATTATTTTAAATATTCAAATTTCTTATAAAATTATTCAAATATGCTTAATAAATTCTCTCTACGTGTTACCTCATTAAAAGCATTTAAATATGAAAAATAATTTAGATTTATTTTTTTATATTGATTTTAATATAATTTTACATATTACTCAAATAATTAATTCTTTTTATTTATTTAAAATTTATAATATTGAATGCATTTATTTATTCAATGACATATAAAAGTTATATACTCTTTC